AAGCCAGACATGCACTACTATTGTGTGCCTACTGCCTACCCCCAGTCCCAAACTAGGGCAGTGCTATACCCACCATTTTGAGTAATAGGGGTTATAATTTTTGGTAGCGAGGTAGGAAAATGGAGTATTGCCAAATGCTAAGAACTGAACTTCCTCTCACTTCAGACGTGCTGGTTTTCAATGTTCCCTTAAGCCACACTTGTGTTTCTTTCCGTCATCCTAATCTTTGAGCTTTCTTTCTGTCCCGATAGGGATGCAGTCGCAGGGCAGCACCTCCTCTCAGCCCTCCTTTGATTCCCTGAGCTCCAGTGACAGCCTCTTGTTCAGCGATTCAGAGCAGGCAGAGGACGACACAGACGTCTTCCTGACAGACAGCTCTCCATCTGTCATCATCGCGGGGTCGGGCGGCGCGTCAGCAAGTGGAAATGGGGGGTCAGACAGTCCCGGGTCACAGTGGACGTGTGACGGCTTCACCGACAAAGAGGAAGAGGAGGACTCGTACAGGTCACAGAGTGGCGGCAAAGCGGCTCACGTCAGCCTGGGGAAGACTGATCCGGCGAGGCAGACTGCAAAATCACAAGGAGATCTGCTGTTTGCTCAGAAGGTAAGAAAGGTGATAGGCAGAAAAGGGGAGTGATGAGAAGAGGGCTGACATAGCAGTGTGCGTGCAAAGGAAAGCCCAGCAGATAGCCTCGGACAGCCGAGCCTAACCAAAACCAACTCGTAATCTGTCTTCCCTCCTCCTCTGTCAGTGTGCTGAGCTGCAGGGTTTCATCAGGCCCCTGCTAGAGCTGCTGAATGGACTGAAGAGGGGCCGATTCGACCGGGGTAAGCATCCTTTCTTCACTGTCTTCTGGGAGGCAAGTGTGTGTGTGCGCTCGCTGGCTTCTGCAGTTGTTGAGGCTGAACACAGGTTTACATGATCTAAGTGGCCTCAGTCCATTGAAATAGTAAGTTTTCCTTCAAGCAGTAGTCTGTATTGATGTAGCCTATCGATGCAGTCCACAGTGCTGTGTGTGTGTGTGTGTGTGTGTGTGTGTGTGTGTGTGTGAGCTCATTCTGCTGACTCAGTAGCTTGCAAGAGTTTACCGATATCATGAGTTAGAGCGTGTGTGCATGTGTGAGACCGTGCATGCCCACATATGCATTCATTCAGTGTGAATGCTGACTGAAGGATTATGTTCTTTTGATTGACAGGCTTGAGTAGTTTCCAGCAGAGCGTGGCGATGGATCGTATCCAGAGGATTGTGGGGGTTTTACAGAGACCTGACTGCGGGTAGGATGTCATCCAAATTGTCCCACCATCCATCAGCCCTCTTTTTCTCACTCTTATCAAGTCCTGCCATCATGAGATGTTTTAGCTGCATTTAAGAATTATTATCTTTATTAAACTGTGAGTTGATCTTAGATATGCAGTGCACGGTGAGGCAGGATGTTTTATTGAACAGTCCTCAGGCAGGTAGAGTTACAGCTTTCACTGTCAGTGCAGAGAAACACCAAACTTCAGATGAAATTTTACCTAGATCTCTGTGCAGGATCATAAATATCCACGCCTGTTCCTACTCAGCAGCAAAGTCGTATTCCTATCTGCTCCTCACCTAAATTTTGTTCCTCTTTCTACATCATAGGGAGAAGTATCTGAACACTCTGCTCCAGGTGGAGATGATGCTAAAACTTTGGTTTCCCCAAATTCTCACTCAGCCTGTGTCTATAGCCTCCAGTGTCGCCACATCCCCTGCCCGATCCCTCCAGGAAGCTTCCGGCTCCACCCCGCCGCACAAACACAGGGATCAGTTACATATTCCCGTTAAGGTGAGGACATACATTCCTGACTTCTTGCTGCTAATACACATAAACATTTCTCCACCCCACCAGCACCACAAATTTTACAAAAACCTCCCGTTCATATTCTGAAAATTACTCTCCTGTTTATTTTCCAGAAGCGCAGACTCAGCTGGACGGGTACAGACTCTCCCACGCCTTCCCCTGTACCTCTCAAGTCCCCCCATATCAGCACAGGAGAAAACAGGGTGAAATCTGATCGCAGAGAAGGTGGACCTTCTTCCTCCCCATCACTAGCAGCTGATGCAAATCAGAGTTTGGCACATGCAGCCAGCAGCAGTCAGCTAACTGATGACAAAAATGACGGAAAAGACGGAGACAGCAAGGAACCAGGGAAGGTGTCGAAGTACCAAGCGGGTCAGAGCTCTAAGCCGAGCCTCACGTGGGTTCATGTTGCGCCCATCCTGTCCCCACGAAATACCTGCCTCTCACACGATGCCCTCACAGCCAGCAGGAGGTTGAGCCCGGCTACACAAGACAGCTCCATCTCCTCCACCACACCTTACAAGCACCCCAAAAATGTGAAGAAGCCAATCCGGTGCCAAAGCCAGCCTGTTGCTGGACAGCAGAGTGAGAGGGGGACCACTGAGACAACTCCGGGTGAGAGCCAGTCTCCTCCTGTTACACTTAAGCCTTTGCCTGGGGCGTGTCCCACCAGCTTGAAGACCTGATGTACTGAATCAGCAAAAGAACTGGCAGCCTTGCTTTGTTACACCACTGGGCTAAAAGCTGCTGCGACAGGAAGAAGGGAAGAGGCTGAAGGCCTGTGATTATACTTGCATTAATGAGAGGAAGTGAGGAAAGAATTGTTGGTGATAGATGTTGAAAACAATGATGGATAAAAACATAACCTATCATCCAGACCACAGTTAAAACAGACATTTCAAACAACAGGACATAAACAAGAACCGTTATCACACTTATAACCGAAACTCGTGCGGAAAGGTGGTTGTCAAGGTTCAAAAGCAATGTACAGGTAACGAGAGACATTGTAGAGTATTTAGAGGAGTAAATGATCGCTCCTCTTCAGCATGAAGGCAATCAATACAAAAAGAAGAAATATTTATGTAGGTGACTGTTTCAACAGACATCTAACTTGAAAGAAACTGTCCGAAAATGGAACAGCCGATGTCAGTAATCAAAATAAAACCTTCCAGTGTTTATTTTGATGTGGTTGATGAGTGAGCTGATTCTAGTCTTGCAGCAGAAGACACGTTTTTCTCTACATTCTTTTGAATGGTTTGAAGAGGAAAAAGCGACACTGGGGGTAATTAAAAAAATCTTGTTGCTAGTGATGTGAGAAATGAGGTGTAGTGTGCGCTGTGTCGGAGCCATTGGAGATGGTGGAAAAATGACATCACAACTCACGAATGTAATCCAAGAATTGTTTGGACACTCGGCTGGCAGATCATCAGCATCGAGCAGGAGTGACATCGCAGCGACCGGTGGTCACATAACTTTTCCTGTCGTGCCGTGGATCAGATGTTTCCGACGGCAAACCGACTGGCAATCAGTCTCATTACAATCCGAGACTTTTAATAGACCAGCGTATGGAGTTAACAAGGACCACTAAAAGACATGTCTATTGATTCAATTACACAGTTAATTTATTCATGTGTTGATCTGATACTGCATCTATTTATTGTTTGTATTTATTGGGCAGCTTATCACCTGCTGTGCGCTTGCATAGTTTGGCCTACAGTTCTTTTGAGGTGACTGGGAAGATGCTGTTGACATTTTTTTGTGGTTTTTATTGCTATCGTGAGGAGGGCAAAACAAAAAGGACGTGAAATCTTATGATTGGTCTCTTGGACTACTGTGCCTTTTTTACCAAATAGGATGTGTTTTTCAAAAAAAAAAGCATTCTGTGCTCTCAGTGCATTCATACTGTGTTTTGATTGTTTGCATGTGTTTCACAAAACCAGTGCACAGTCAAACGCGAAAGCCAACGTGTAGTCACCCTTCTTCTAAAATCGCACACAGCTTAAAAACCAACATCATCAACTGTGATTCTTTAAAACAAAAAAAAAAAAAAATGGCATCCAGCTCTTATATCCCAACATCTACAGCTCACCTGAATGGCCTGCATCTCTGACTAATACACACACCAACAGCAGTGGCTACTATTTGTCATGTAGTATTTAAGTGTCTAGCCTTCCTTTGGGGCTTTTCTTTAGGTTCTGATCAGGAGAGAAACCGACTGAACGGCACTTAAAGATGGTGCTCTTGAAAACTTGAAAACATGGTGAAAATATAAATGTAAGGGAAGAAATCTTTCTTTGCACCACTCTCTACCGCTGCTATCATCGTGCTGATTTACATGTATCATTGAAGGCTTGCTCTTTAATTGGAAATCCACTCACAGCATTCATTTAAATGTTGAAGGGGTTCTTAGTAACCCGACTGGATTAATCTATATTGTAAATATTTGGACTGATATTTTTGAATTGGTGTGAGAGGTTCATATGCTATTTACATAACTACAAATGGGGTGGGGGGATTTGCATTACTAGACTCCTCCAAAAAGCACCACACGTGAACACAGAGCCACCGGCAGCCAACATGTTACTGCCTGTTTGTTTTTGTTGTTTTTCTCAGTACGGAGTGTACAAACCCTCAGTCACTCTTATCCTGCTACAATACGCCAGATGTTGACTCTTGATCAGAGGCTGGGGGTGTCTTCCACCACACTCCTGTTTTGGTTTTTGGGTTGTTTTTTTTTTTATACATTTGTGGTATGACAGAGAAGCCAATTGCACTTATTTTTCATTATGTCCTTTTTCATGTGTTTTCTACTGCAGCGACCACTGCTTATTGGTCAGAAATAATGTCTTGTTTATTTCAGCTGCCTTCTTCTTCTACTACTACAACTACTTATTACATTTTAAAAGCTGACTGTAGTTCCACCTCGCCTCCCTTCCCCCACTCTGCTGCACTCGTCTGCCCCTGCCCTCTCCTCTCCTTTATCTCCCTCAATCCCGTAGTATATTTTCTTTCTAAACTAAACTCTGTCTTTCACTCAACCCAATTCTATGTGATATTACACTCCTTTTTTTTAAAAAATATTGATACAATCAAAGATAAAAAAAATAAAAAATAAAAAAAAACTTTTAATAAATGAAACCAATTTTTGAAAGATGAAACTGCCTGTGTGCTTGTTTACGCAAATCTTCATGCATTTATTTTGTTTTCTTTTGATTATGCAGCTCCCGATTTGGAAAGCAGCTTTTAATAAACAGATGTGTGACTCGATGGGGTGCAGATTTACAGACTGTATATTCTGAAGGCTGCGTGAGTGCACGAGTGAGTGGGGGTGAGGCGGAGACGATGAAGGCAGGAAGAAGAGGAGGGGCAGTGGGGTGGTGAGACTACAGCCTCTGTAATCTGACTGAGAGAGGTAGGGGGGCTGGCTGATCCTCCAACCAGCTGCTACATCAGAGTCCAAACACTACTTTAGCTTATATGTGTGCTCATGTGAGAGTGTTATAATGAGTAAATACCTTCTGGAGGTTAGCAGAGAAAAGTTGGTGGTCTCTGTAGCGCGGTCCTGCATTTCACACGAAAACAATTACCCACAGGCTCAAGTCTGATCTCTGCAGGCGACCACCGAGATTTTTAATTCCCTCTAGAAAAAAAAAAATCAAAAGGTGAGAATGAAAAATTGAGTGGCGCAGCGCTGCATCACCCACACCGAACGTGATGAAAGAAAATGAAAAAAATTCTGATAACCCAAACACACACTGGGAGGTTGCTAGGAGTAATGTTATGTAAGAAAATGTGAGTTTTACTTCAAAATAAAGAGAAAGTAAAAACTTTAAAGTTATGAAGCTGTGTACTAATTTAACTTCAATCTGTCTTTTTTGTTGTTTTCAAAAAACATTGCTTCTTTTATCCTTTAATATTTAAATCTGGAAGTTCTGATTCTGTTAATTTCACCAATTCTCAAAGAAAAATCTATGACCAGAAAATCAGACGCAACAATAGATGTTACACTGCACAAGGAGCACAACTGTTAATTTCATGTATTAACCATCATTGCACTCTCGTTCTCCTTCGCCCAGCATCATATCCTTAGATACTGCATGCACACCAGGATGAGAGTGGCAAATTTTGGGAGGGTGTGGTTTTGACTTCTCTCTCATGCCATGCGGCACGTATGCATGCATGCATGCGCTGCTCCCCCCCCCCTGTCGCACGCTCTGACACACTGACTGGCTGATTTGGTGATGGGCTTGTCTCTGACACAGTGACTATGCTACGTTACAACAACACAGACAGCCCTCCCTGCCTCCACCCTCCCTCCCCTCGGCCCCCCCTTGTATCCATGCAGTTTTTAGCAGAAAAAGCCCTTGCCCTCCATCTCCCCACCGCTGCTATTCTCCCCCCCTCTTTCTACTCCGGAGGATGGAAACGAGGGGCAAGAGAAAAAGGACAAGAAGAGGATGTGTGGAGGGCACAGGGACGAAACTTGACCTCGCTACAGTTTTGAGAACACTTTTTTTTTAACAAACAAAATATGTATGATTGTTCTTTTTCTCCCCAAAAAAGCTACATTTGTTTTTTGTTTAATCATTCAGTTGGATTATAATATTCTGTTTGCGCAGTATATTTTCATATAATTAACATTACAGCACTGTTCACATTCAAGTTGTTTTCACTTCTCCGAGCATGTGTTGGCTTAATTTAGCATGTGTGTGTCCATCAATAGGATTGCACATAATGAACTTACTGCGGCTCTTATCCCTTGCTGTGTAGGTTTTAATTGTGGGCCCACATCCTGTTACTGGTTTTAACAAGTTGATGATTTAATGGTGTCCTTCCAGTTCTGCTCTGTGCACATAATGAAGGGAACGACACAATGAGGTGCTTATTCACTTATTCTAAACACCCCTCCCCCATAATTTCACTCCAGTACGACTCGCGTGAGGTGAAGTCACTCTCTGACTTTACAACTACATACACAGCCTCTTACTCACCATAAGTCCACAGGGTTTTTTTTAGTGCAGACTTGACCAAAAAAACAGCCTGAATGCTCAATAAACCTGCCCAATCCTGAAATGGAAATCAGAGACATTTCGAAGTCCCTGCTTCGCCGGAGATCACAGCGGTGACGGGCCCTTGGTGTGCCAGGTTGAAGGGGTTGCTCTGCACGCCATCTGTGGTCTCCATCTCTGTGAACAACGTAAAGACAGAGACACCAGGACTAAATTTTCAAGGGCGCACGTGTGTCTCATCATGACATTGTGTGTGTGTGTGTGTGTGTGTGTGTGATATTTGGGGCATGGCTCAGCTACAGGCAAATAACATCCTCATCAGTTTCTCTGGCCTGAATGTGTTCTCGGGAGTCTGCTCGCGATGACACCATCCCACACGGCTGCTTAATTATTCAAGTACACTGAGTGAAAGGGAATCACCAGGTTCAGTATACTCATGAGGGGGGAAAGAAAGACACAGATGGCAAGCAAAGACGGCTATAAATGAGACAAAAGTGAGAGATTAAAGCTTACTCCCTCTGAGTTAGAATAAACCACCTGCACATAAACTGAGATCCTAGCAGCGTATGCTCGAAGTCAAGACAGCTGAGCCCCCTGAGAGTGTATCTTCCAAGATGATTTACAACCCCTGTCAGACACAATGAAATAAAACTGGGTCAGCATGATGAAATATACCATAACCATACAGTTGATGAATCAAAAAGCTTTGTGTGAGAACAGAGGGGATAACTTAACTAAAGTCTTAAACTTTGCTGTGTTGTTGATTTTTGGAGAAAAGCAATAATATACATTAATAGCTGATATCAAGCTCAAAGGCTGTTAAGACTGAAAGGAAACACTTAAGATTCAGCAATAAAAGCTTTGCAGATACCGGACTAGGATTACAAACTAAATACCTGACATTCCAGTAATATAACAGATTAATTCATACAGCTCCCATCGCATGCCCCCATGATGCATTACTCTTGTTTTAGCTGCACAGGCAAATTGAAATCACTGTGTTTGCCAGTGTGGGGTCAGGGCATGCGTGTGCGCATGTGATGCTGTGTGCGTTTTTGTTTTTCCTGTGTGCACTTGTATAGAAATATCTGTGGTATTGTCATATTATGTGCTGAGGTGTCATTACATAATAGAGCTGGCTGGAGAGAGGGAATGGGGGGCGGGGGCTGTGGGGTGTGCAGGGCAGACGGCTCATGGGAGGGATTCAGGTTGGCCACGGGTGGTCGTAGGAGAGTGGGTAAATGTGAGAGACATTGGTGTGTGAGGTGTTTACTGTCAGGCTCATCATTTGATTATCCACAGATTAAGGTAGCATTATTGTAAATTTAATGAAAATAATTACCCATGTTGGGTTTTTTGTTTTGTTTTTAGCCAAAATCAGAGTTAAAACCGAGAGAAGAGCTTTATATGTAAACCTGGCATTTAGCAACTCATGTACTACTTTTAGGCTGATCAGTGAGAAAGTGAAGCCCAACAATTTTAAATTTTTTTTTAACATATTATTTGGAGTCATGTTAATAAGTAAGTCATGTTTGCTTATTTGTCTCACTTTCCTATCAGAGACAGTACCATAATTACAAAAAAAACTCAATAGTTTTGGAGTCTTTTAGCTCATCTATCTTCACCAGACTATCCTTGAACATTCAGATGTCACCCACTGGTTTTGGAGTATGCATTTTGAAGCTTCAACTAGCTTTTTGGCTGTTGACATGTTGCTATTGCTTTTTGAGCAAGACATGACCATATGCGAATGAGATGATGAAGCGTCAATAGCAAGCTGATTCATAAACTGTACACGTGCATGGCACAGACACAAATATAGACTTATTAGTATTAATCAACAGACTAACAACATACTACAATTTCACTTACCAGAACTGAAGCGCAGATGTCTTGGATGTTGATCTCTATCACCCAGCAAACCATATTATGTAATTTTATTAAAGACACCAACCGCAGAGACCATGTTTATTTCAGTAACAATGGTGAAGACAAAACTACTAGTGCAAGTTTACTTTGTAAACAAAAGGAGTTTTTGTTGTATTATTCAAATGCCTCTAACCCACAGTTGAGGCTAAATGTACAACATTCAGTTATTTAGCATTATATTTAACTGTAATTATGTGCTTCACTCCCCACTGTCCTGCTTTTTTTCTCCTCTATCACTGCATGGATATCTCCAGACTATTTATCTCAGCTTTGTCTTAAACACACTGTTCCTCACATAAGTCACGGGTTCAGAACTTATTATTTGTTTCTTAGTTAATTGCATACAGGCTATAGTAAATTCCTCTCTGGCCTCTGGTCAAGTTCTGTGTTACTTTAAGAATGCTGTTATTCACCCTAGACTAAGTTACGATAAACAGCATTCTTGATAAATTTCCACCTGGGTTCTGTGAAGGACAATTAACTGAGACAGCTCTTCTCAGACTATCTAATGATGTTTTGGCGCAAAGTGCCACAGGAATTGTTCTGTCCTCCTTATGTTGGAACCGACTTTAGCCTTTGATACAATTGCTCACCAGATCTTGCTTGACAGGTTGAGGTATTGGACCAGTGTGTTGGGATCTGCCTTACGCTGCCTTCATACCTTTCTGATCGTTCTTTTTGCATGCCTGCTTCAAATTACAAGTCTTCCTTAAGTCATATTCATTTTGGTGTACCTCAGGGTTCTGTTTTGGGGCCCGTATTAATTCTGGTTTACATGCTCCCTCGTCAGAACATTTTGAGCACTTTTAAAGACCTATCATATCACTGCTACACAGGTAATATTCAGTTTTATATCTTTTTTAAGCCTCATGACGTTCGAAACTGCACGTCTTACACTGTGTAAAAAGCTGGATGGATAAAATGTTTTCTTAACTTAATGAAGAAAAAAAAATGAAATTCTTGTTTGTACTCCAGAAAAGCATATAACTCTAGGAAACTCTTAGTGCATTAGACTCTTAGTTGATTAGACTATTCCAAGCCTTCCATCAGGAACCTCTGGGAAAATTTAGATTCTGGTTTTACTTTACTTTGGTCATGTTCAGTCATTGGTTCGTTTATGTTTTTAGTACTATCTCACAAACAGAACTGGAAACTGTTATTCATGCTTTTGTTTCTTTGAGACTGGATTAGTGTAAATCATCACCACTTATTTAGTGTATATCTGTGTGTACATAGTGTATATATTAGTGTAACTCGTTATTGACCAGCCTACACAAAGCATCATTGGACCGTTTGTAGATGCTGCCAGACTTCTGAACAAATCACCAAAGTTTTCTCATGTCACACTGCTACTTTCCCAGCTCCATTGGCATCCCATTGACTCGAGAATACATGTCAAGATTTTGGTTCTCACTCATAGGGCTCTGAATGGTCAAGCACAAGCATACATCTAAGAACTTTTACATCTGTATGTCCTTAGCAGATCCCTAAGGTCATCTGACTGAAGCCTGCTGTGCCACACGCAAGGGTAAAAACTAAAACTTAAAAACTAAAGGTGACAGAGCCTTCTCTCAGTTGTAGCACCAGGACTCTGGAACTTTCTCCCTTTTAGTTTTAGGTCTGCAAACTCTGTTCAGCTTTTTTAAAAGCAACTAAAAATCTTTTACAACTGCTTATAATTAACTATTTTGATATACTAATGTCTGATGTTTTTTGTTTTCTTTTGTTCAGCACTTTGTAATCAATATCTTTAAAGGTGCTACATAAATAAAGTTTTTACTTTGTGTGGAAGTGGGGAGTGTGGGGAAGTGGCAGTGGGGAAAATAATTATTTGATCATCTGCTGAATTTGAAGGTTTGCTCACTTACAAAGAAATTAACAGTCTCTAATTTTTATGGTAGTTTTATTTAAATGGACAGAGACAGAATATCAATCAAAAATCCAGTAAAAAAAAAAACCCACATTACATAAAAGTTATAAATTGATTTGCACGTCACTGAGTGAAGTAAGTATTTGATCCCCAAGCAAAAAATGTGTTACTGTTGGCAAGCACAGTGGGAAGATATTTTTTGTAATAGGTCACCAGGTTTGCACACATCTCAGGAGGGATTTTGGCCCATTCCTCTTTACAGAAACTCCAAATCATTTAGGTTTCTTGGCTGCCACTTGGCAACTTGGACCTTCAGCTCCCTCCTCATATTTTCTCTAGGACTGAGGTCTGGAGGCTGGTTAGGCTACAAAATTACACCATAATCACACCAACATTTGTCACCTTCTCAACAAGCCTCTTGCTGATGGTCTTGTGTAGATCTACAATCTTGTCCTTGATGTCATTTGACAGCTTTTTTGGTACTGGTAGCCAAAGTTGGATAGAAAAAAACTGATTCTGTGTGCAGGTGTGCTTTCTAAACATAGCGAGTTAAGTTCAGGAGTATCTGTAATTGACTGAATGTAATTTGTGTGCCACGTGGACACGCAACGCAGGCAATTTGTTGGAGGCAGAATTCTGAGTGGCACTTATTTCAGTCAATGGCATGCAAATCAATGCATAACTTTTATGTGATGTGTTTTTCTGGATTTGTGGTTGATATTCTGTCTCCCTCTATTAAGATGAAAATGACCATAAAAATTAGCAACCATGCATTTTTTTGTAACTCAAAGCAAAATGTACAAATTCAGCAGGAGAATCAAATTTTCCCTACGGTACATTTAGTTGACTCTTTGACAACTGAATTCTTCTCTGTTTAACCACGCTTTCTATTGAAATTCTATTATTAATTATATTTTTATTGTCTTTTTTTATTTTTGTGTCTTCTACCATACTTTTATATTGCTAGCACTTTATACATAAACATCACTTACTTTGTATTTTGTCACTCCGTAAGGGACAACTTCATTTTTATTGAATGACTTTCTTTTTTGTCTTTACGTTTGTTTAAAAAGAATTTGAAACACTTGTCTGGTTCCCCCTTAGCGAGGTCAGGCCTCTCCTAGTGTCACTGCAAACTTTGCTCATTGCAACTGCTGTAGTTTGAAGTTTGTTTGGCCTGGCATGCCTGGTGGAAAGCATTGCCTCTGTCTGTCAGGTCCAGCTGCCTGTGTCAGTCAAAGAGTCCATGAACCTAACTCCAGTATCCAGGTGGCTCTATACGATAGTTGCCTGATAGATATTGTTAGAAAAGGGCCAAAACATCCCTCGGGATTAACTTCTTTTTGGAGTGGGCCTAAAGTGGCCACTGGAGGAACTACTGCAGTTTTTGGCACTTCCATGCTGGCATCAGTTTTCAACTCCAGAGGCAGCTACATTTGTACAACACATACAGTGGAACGATAGTCACTGCTACTTGCAAATGTCACTAAATAACTGACAGCCAACAAGGTCAGCAGCAGTTATTCTTGGGCAATATATCAGTGAATACCTTAGTCTAAGGAGCTTGGAAAGAACTTCTTTAAGTTGCTTGAAGACATTTCACCTGTCATCCGAGAAGCTTCTTCAGTTCTAAGGTCAAATAGCGGAGAGTCCCAGATTTAAACCCAGTGGGAGTGTTCCCCCAAAGAGGGACAAAAGGACCCCCTGATGATCCTCTACCTAATCACATGAGCCAAGGTGTGAAAATGGGTGTGGGTCACAATCAGCCAGAGTTTCGGGTGAGCTCATTGTGAAACCTGGCCCAACCCTATCATGTGATTTCCTGAGGTCAAATGGCCCAGGGTGTGAGTGGGCGCTAAGGCGTCTGGGAAGGGAACTCAAAACTGATATTATAGATGGCAGACAGCTGGTGTCGTAAGCCATCGCCTCTGTTCAAAGATGGTCGCTCACAGTGGACATAAATGGCTTCTTTCACTCCTCTTTCAAACCACCTGTCTTCTCTGTCCAAAATGTGAACATTGGCATCCTCGAAAGAATGACCTTTGTCCTTTAGATGCAGATGAACTGCTGAGTCTTGTCCCGTGGAGGTGGCTCTTCTATGTTGTGCCATGCGCTTGTGAAGTGGCTGTTTGGTCTCTCCAATGTGTCCCACACCTGTTTTCACACCTTGGCTCATGTGTTAAACTATCTTGCTTAAATGATGGTAAAATACATTTAATTTTCAATTGAAGTAGTTGCTGAATATTTTTCTGCAATTCAACTAATATATAAATCATTAGACTGTTTCAGATCAAAACATTGCATTGCAACTTGCGTTCAGCAATTTAAACAAAGAATAATTTACGACACTCAATAACCAAAACAAGTGATCAGTAAGACCTTGTTTTTGGGAAAACTAAATATATGACATTCTGATTTTCCTCAAGGTCACGGAGAAAAATGGTATCAAAGTGAAAACAACAAAAGGCGTTTGTTGTGGTGGAAAAAGCATGTAATCAAAATGCCTCAGATTTCCATGTATTATTCTGTGGTCCTAATTAGAGGCTTCCTTTACACTACTTCCATATTCACACAACTTGGGTTGTAGTGTGCTTGTAAACATGGACCTAAATATTAAGTACATGGGTGATGAATCAGCAGATGATGACATGGAGGTGTGCTGTTCGGTAGGAGTAAATGAATGCACCTGTAATGACTAGCTGACATTTTGGTGATAGAGAAAGAGCATGTGTTGTAACTAAAGCATGCTGCGTATGCACCTCTTCCTGATGGTTGCACGTAGCATTAGCACTGTGAGCGAAAGCATGGATGTGGCTTGCTGTAGAGAGAGCGAGTCATTTGGCAGCCTGGTATAGCCTCGGGCTCTCTGCAACTGATTCATGCTCACACTACTATAAGTGCAGGCAGTTGACCCACATCATGCAAAGGGAGGGAAAAAAGTCAGGAGGCGGGCGTTCAGGGGAAGGAAATGGAGATCATCTGATAATCTCATGTTTTTACCAGGGGACTGGGTTCACGACTGAGCTGCGGTTAATAATTAGGCAATATTTATGACTAGTTTGAGTTCTGTGAAAATCATTGAAACACTGCGCTTTTAATATGAAGACAAAGCCCTATCATGAACCTTGTAAAGGAGAAGAATGTGAATACTCTCTGCCAAAGCTCTTCTTCAGCTATTCAATTTGGATTTTTATTTGCAATTCAGATCACTCTCTTAGTTCCCAGAATGTAAAACATTAGTTTTAATCCAGCCTTAACTAGTTTTGGTATTTGAAGTTGCCAGGGGAAAGATTTAACCTCTTAACAACCACCAAGTCACTGCTGATCCACTTAGTGGTAGGCTTATGCTGAATTTTACCAGCAAGATAAAGAAGCATAGTCTCAGAAACTAGAAGACATAACCTTCTAAAGCTGGCATCTCACACACATTTAGACTTTACAATTGCTTTGCTATAAGACTTCAATTTGAATGTGTAAACTAGAAGCATAGAACTGAACCTAACCATAACCCCATTATTCCAGTACCTAATTATTCCTATTACACCTAATGTTCAGCTAGAGTTTCTATAAATATATTGCTCTGCAATTACATGATGCCAAAAACTTGAAAGTCATTTAGCTTAGTTTGATTTAAATGGACAAAAGACTGCGTGTATCACCAGACAAATCTGCTAAAATAAATAAATGAATAAATAAATAAATAAATTGTAAGAACTTTTTCTATATATGTTTTACTTCTTCTACCATCATTTTGTGCTGTTGGAGAATTTTCCCTTAAATTTAAATCCAGGATCCAAAGACTGCCGTGCCTCTTATAATATTGACCCAAGCTAAATAGGCAGATTCATTAATGTGTTTTCGCTGGTGAAAATGAAAACTGATTGGGGCTTGTGTAAGGTTAGTTGAAGTAAAATGGGCTTGAAAGTGAACACGTCAGGACTGTGATAAAATGCAGTGTGCATAGTCACACCCACAGGACAGTTTTAATTCTAGAAAAACCCTGAGCTATGGGCATAATGCTATAACGACACAATGTTAACGTAGTCAAGGACGAACTTTAACGGATAAATAAATTTCCTTAATCCTCAGATTTTCAAAACTATTTGGGAGAAATACGTTTTACCTTGTGGAGAACATGGCTATTTCCATACATGTGCAGCTAGGTGGAAACACTGCACACTTGAAACGAAACGACTCTGCGAAAAAGTCCACGAAGAAGAAGCTGTATCCATTTCCTGTTCCGGGGCTTGAAACAAACGTCGTGCGGACGCGCGACTAAACAGAAAGTTTTGCAGAAAACTTGGCACGTTGAGTGTTTTACGCGTCTAAGTCTTCATCGGTTTTCTTTTTACCTCCACGGCTTAAACGGGCTGACTACGACAGAAGAGTAATCTAAGGTTTGTAAGCCTCATGAAGTAGTTATTCCCCGGTGATGGTAGCTCGCGTACAGCGGTGTGCTAACGTTAGTTAGCATCTAACCAGGGAGGTTTGGCGGATGTGATTGATTTAGCAATGTATGTTGCTACGGGCTGGCGCTTTAATTTAATCAGTCTGACTTAACACTCATCAACTAACAAAGTGCAGCAAGGTCGGAGTGACTGACTGTTGATGTGGGAGTTTTTATTAGTTGGAAACTGGTGAACGTCTGTGTCAGAGCAGCTGTAGCTATGTGGATAAAGGACGGCGGGTTTTGGAGCTCATGTTTGGGACTATCACATTTGTGTGATATATGACTAATTAAGGCCAGAAATCACGAAGATATTTAAGTGATAACCATGCTCAGTAGCGATAATCCATGACATAAGTATTTGATGTTCTGCAGGATTGGAGGATGTCTCTTCCAAAGCGGGAGGTGGAGGAGTTGAGGCCATGGGTAGAACGCACTGTGAAGAAGGTGCTGGGTTTCTCGGAGCCCACTGTGGTGACTGCAGCATTGCACTGTGTGGGAAAGGGACTAGACAAAAGGAAGACCATAGGTAAGTACGGTGAAATATCTCTTATGTACTTAGAGATCTGGTGACGATTCAGTTCAGCCAAAAGTGCCTCTGACATCAGAGGCATATCCCAGGGTGATTTGTTTTACCGGGTTACAAAATGCACCCATCACTGAAGAGAAACGAGTCCAACAGCTGTCTGAAAACCTATCTGGCCTTCTTAGGAGTATTTGGCATGACTACCAAGCTGTGGGTTCTTAACATAGTGCAGACAGCCAGCCCAAAAAATGATGGTGTGAAGATCTGCGATGTAGCTATCAGCAGGGCTTGTTTGCAAAGGTAATAGATTTGTTGTCCAGTTAAAATACTCATGTCATTTGTTCATTCAAATGAAAGATTGTGAGTACAAAGAAAGCTGCCTATTGCTTTTATTTGTTTGGTTGTTTGTTTATTTATTTATTTCATCTGTCTGGGAAATAATTGCTCGGTCTGTTAGACTGACTTCTGCAGGTGCTGTAGTTTAAATGTCAGTATTGGGTTTTCATAGTGTGTATTTTTATGTGGGTATTTAAGCCATTCTGTGGTAACATTATTTTCTTTTCAGAGTGTTAATTATTTCATATTTATCATTCTCAGACCAGCTGCGTCCTTTTCTCGATGACTCTGCTGGAGGCTTTGTAGAGCGACTTTTTGAAGCCCTCGAGGAGAGCCGCAGCACACGTGGGAACAAAGGATCTGGAGAAAAAAACCGCAAGAGAGAACTTAAGGTAGCCTAACATCATAGCAAATGTTCATGCTTTATATTATCATTATATAACTGAATAACTAGATCTGAAGGTGGGGAGTTTTCTGACAAGAAAACTGACTATATTAACACGCTCACATGCAAAAGTGACCTATATTAAAGAAAAATAAATACATTACATTCAATGCATGCAGGGATTAGACTGATTGTGTTAAGCCTCAGTTTGATTAACTTAAACCTCAATGTAAACATCCCCTTACACTTGATTTACTCCTGCATTAAGCTTAATTGAGGTTTCACTCAGATGGCACTTAACTTTAGTTCTACATGGACTGCACTGACACAATACTGATTATTGTTACGTAAACTTTAATTGCTGCATAAGATATTTATTATTTTTATTTTTATTGGTGTTTGTGTGTTTGCCGGCTGTACTCAGGATGTGTTTGGTGAAGAGGCTGACACAGGCGCAGCGCGAGAAACTCCCGAGCCAACAGATGGCACAACGGCAAAGAGGAAACGAGTCCCCCGTTTTGAGGAGGTGGAGCAACCTGAGGTGATACCAGGACCTCCATCAGAGAGCCCCGGCATGCTCACCAAAATACAGGTACGTATGTATGTATGTGTGTGTGTGTGTGTGTGTGTGTGTATGTGTGTGTAAGTATAGTCGGTTTATTTTCTTCGTCAGTCACCTCTGTGTGTGTGTGTAAGTATAGTCGGTTTATTTTCTTCGTCAGTCACCTCTGAATCCTTTTGCTGTCCTAACAGATCAAACAGATGATGGAAGCAGCCACAAAACAGATCGAAGAAAGGAAGAAACAACTAAGCTTTACTCCTCCAGCTCCTGCTACAACAGTAATGAGATTTCTTTCCCATAAAAATACATACTGAATAAAGAACTTCAGTCTTTTCAGGTTTTAAATAGAATTTAAAACCTTTCTAACTTCTTTCTGACTCTAGCGGTTGCCTTTTCCCACTTCACAGTCACAGCTGGATGGCCCTCCACTCTCTCGACTTCTTGGCACTGCTGGTGCTGCAGCAGCTGGTGGTGGGTCATCCATCGCTCCCTACCAGGCTGCCAGCTTCATGAATGATGCAATTGAGAAGGCCCGTAAAGCTGCTGAGCTACAGGCTCGCATTCAGTCCCAGTTAGCTATGAAACCTGGCATCCTCGGGGTTTTGGGGAACACTGGGCCACAAAACTTTGTGGCACTAGCTAATCTACATGCCATGGGGATTGCTCCACCGTAAGTGATGTCAGACTATAAATATACGATTTTAAAATGTGCACAAGGCATGAAAAAAGTAGGTGATGTCTTTGTGCTCAATTGACATTGAACTGCTTTCTCTTTATGTGTAACTACAGCAAAGTAGAACCCAAGGAGGTGAACAAACCAACACCTCTTATCCTGGATGAGAAGGGAAGAACTGTAGATGCCAGTGGCAAAGAGGTTGAACTCACACACCGCATGCCTACGCTCAAAGGTACATACATGGATACACTGATCCAGTATTTGTACACAAGCATACACAATGTGTTTTCTTTGTTTTGATATTCCACAAAACATGTTTCTTTCCCTGTGTAGCTAACATTCGAGCAGTAAAGAGAGAGCAGTTCCGCCAGCAGCTGAAGGAGAAGCCCGGAGATGACTTGGAGTCCACATCCTACTTCGACCAGCGTGTGCCTGTTCCTCCAGCTCAACGTGCACGCAGGACTTTCAAATTCCATGACCAGGGACGCTTTGAGAAGATTGCTCAGAGAATTAGAACTAAGGTTGGTACAACCCTGTCCCAGTTGTTTGAAAGAGAATATTTAGAATTTAAGAAAAAGAAAGTCATCATATGTCTCTTGTCTCTCTTGTATGGATCAGGCCCAGTTGGAAAGGTTGCAGAATGAGATTGCCCAGGCGGCAAAGAAGACAGGAATCCAGGCTTCAACCAAGCTAGCACTGATTGCTCCTAAAAAGGAGATTGGAGAGGGACAGGTTCCCAATATTGAGTGGTGGGACTCTTTCATCCTGCCTTCCAACATAGACATGTAAGAAATCAAAATTTGATCTTAAACATTGAGTTTGCTATCAGGAATGTGTGGAATACATGGCAATAATAATCTTTTTTTTTTTTAATTTTAAGAAATTCAGACACAAAATTTGAAGCGTTAGAGCTGTTTGGTGTGACCAGCCTGGTGGAACATCCTGCCCAAATGAGCCCACCAGGTAAGTCTATAGGAGGTAAAATGTGTAAGTTAAAATAGATTTTGTCCTACAAAATCATTATTAACTGTTAAAAATGTCCTTATGCCGTAATGTGCAGAAGTCTTGAGCCACCACTCAGTTTAATTAATTAATATTAATATATTTAGCTATTAAAATGGTAAATGGGTACAGTGAGTTATTGAAACTTGTGCAACCATACATACAAATACAGTATATTAGGGCTAAACAGAGGCTTTACAATTCTAATAGGCTTGAAGGTCAATATGTGGTATGAGCAACATGCAACTAGTCTTCAGGAAAAGTTCTCCAGGGTTCTTGAAGGATATTCAAAGCTCTTCTTTGGATGTTGGCTGTTTTTGTTCTGCTCTCTTGTCAAGATGATCCCACACTGCTCCGATAATGTTGAGGATGGGGCTTTGGGGAGTCCAGTCCATGACTGATGGTGTTCCACTGTGTCTTTTTCTGTCCAGCTTTTGCTGCATCGGCAGCGTGTTTGTCAGCATTGTCATGCTGAAAAATAAAGCTGTTATCAGTAACATGCTTTCCAGATGGCACATTCATAGTCTATCAAAATCTCAGCAATTTTCTGTGTTCGTAATCCCATCAGTTTTGAAAAGCTTTCCAGCACCACAGACTGAAATACAGCTTGAAACCATAACAGAGCCTTCACCGTGTTTTACAGATGGATGTAGACACCACCAATGTTCCCTCTAAGCTGCACGCGTGCGCATTTGCGCACTGCTGGCACGGTCTCTGCGCACAGAAAATCTGCATTGCGCACAAAAAAAAAATCTAACCTGAATTGAAATTAAAATGAATACTTTAACAATTCTGTTTTGCAGTGTTAGTCAGTAAGTGACTGGCTGCTCCCGTATGGGATTAGAACGATGCCACCTTATCCCATAGTCCAGCCAATGATGCGATTCACATTCGTATATACGCAGCTAATCAACGTCGTTGACAGGCTATGACAGCGTCCTTATGTGCCGACACCGGTGTTTTAGCTAGCAAAGCGGCTGATGTGGAGTGAAGCCACGTTAATGACAACGTGTACAACCATTGGAGATGTGAGCAGGGCAGACGGAACAATTGACGGTTTGGTTTTCTTCCTGAATACTATCGTTGTTTATATTTACTGCGGGAAGAAACTCTACAAACTGCGTTTTATGAGGAAAGCACTCTCCGCCTGTGAGCAAAGACAAAACCAAAAAAAACCCCACCCTTTCCTATTGGTCGAAAAATGTACCATGTCGACCAATCAAAAAATGATATGGCAACATGGCATTTAGTTGTTTAGGAAGGGGGAAGTTTTAGG